CCCCCCCGCCCGCCCCCACAGGGATTTTTTCAAAAAAAACATTTTCTTTCTTAGTATTATTTACAACATATATAAATCGACTCAGTTTTTGCAGTACACATAACAATCGGATGCAAATCCGATGTTTCCGCATTTATTTTATATCAAAACAATTAGAGAAATTCGATGTATTTTATCATCTAGAAAATCGGACCCAATAGAAAGTACAGAGAAGCGTGATTCCTATAGATTTGTGTAAAATGATGATAAATTATGTTTGACATTTTAATCTCAAAGGGATTGTACTAATAGATCTGTAGAAAACATTAATCGAAACGACATTGGATCGCTTTGGAAAAAGTTCTTAGTTTCTCCCCTTTGTTTGTAATAACATCAATTGGCATTATTGAAACAAACAATGTGCACGAAGTTAAATCAAGATTTTACTTTTGCTTCAAGTGCGATAAAGGTTAACTTTTGTGCTCTACTGTATTGTATAACCATGCTTTTTCTTTTCTTAGTGATTATACTCGTCATGGCAAAAAAGAGAAGCCAATGAGAACAGTTATTTTGTTTTTACACATATAATAATTTACAACGATGATCGGGGACTGATGTTGTCACACTAATCATGTGATCAACATTAGGAATATCATACTTGTAGAAACAAATATAATCTCAAACAAACTTTTCGCTGTGTGAATTTTCTGTAAATTATCTTTAGAATACTTGTGAAGCTAGCTTCTTCATAGAATGATATAAAAATGTTTACATACATTATTTGACAGTGAACCATGATAATAACTTGAACGACGAGATACAGCAGGTTTTGAAGGAATCTCCGCTAGAATAACAAAATTTTTTATGTTATTTTATTTGAACAAAATTCAATTGCATTGAACCTAATTTTTGAGCAACCTCAGATCCGCCTTGTTTAATGGCTAGGTCGTAGGGCGTATATCCATCATCCGTCAATGGACGTAATGGCGAATCATGTGCTATTAGAGTCTATAGGACAAGGCTTAATAGTTATTAAAAACATTTTATCGATTGAATTACTGTTATAGTCTCAACATTATTACACGCGGCAGCACAATGCATTGGAGAATATAAATTGAATGGATTTCGTACATCGACATCTGCTTGTGCACGATTAATCAGTAAATCAACAATCGATGGGCAATTACCCAAAGCGGCTTGCTAAACAGTAAAAACAAGAACATTTTCTCTATGAATTGAAATCAAGAAGAAAATAACAGATTTTTTATTACATGTAAAGATGTCCATCCAAATTTATTCACAAATCTCCAATTAGCACCAGCTTGCAATAATACTTTAACGGCATCATCTCGTCCAAAAAAACATGCTTCATGCAACGGTGTATTTCCTTGTGACGAAAAGAAAATTCATATTGTATTAATTATTGAATTAGAAGAAAAAATACCCTCTTCATTTTTCGAATTAATATCAGGACAATTAGAATCAGCAAGAAGTAATTTTATAACATCTCGTTGACCTCGCGTCGCGGCTTCGTGAAGAACAGTTTTTGGGCCACGTCGTTGTGCAAATGAAGGTAAATGATGACCATGAAGAGGGGAGGATAATGAACAACGTAAATGACGAGCGCCATCTCCTTGATAATATTCAAGTAATTCGTCCAGCGCTAAATAATAAACGATGAGAAACTTATTTTAATAATTATGATTTAATAGAAAATTTACAGTAAAATACTGAATCAGTTATTTCATCAAGAAATGTTCCATTTCCAATATGGTGTGCACGATAATGATAACATTGTCCATCTTTAATGAGGGATAAAACAAATTTACTTTCATCTCTATCTGATTGACGAAGCATATAAATGCCATTTTTATTATTACCTACAAAAGACAAACGAAATAAATTTATAATAAAAAGATGAGTAATCAAGCATGATTTTCAATACTATATGTGTATGCATTGCGTAGTAATTTTTCACTTCCTGCTCGATCACACGCTTTAAAAAAACATGTAATCTGATTCTGATCACGTGCTGACGATGGAGATGCTTGCTGAAAGTCTGTTCTAGTTATAGCACGAGATGCTTTATCTAAAACAAATGAATAGTGTTAAATTTAGGAAAGATTTTGATTTGAACGTTTCTATCTTTACCTTTATTTAAATTTTCAGAAGTGTTTTTTGTTGCCATATGAAATGCAGGATGAAAAAAAAACGTAAGCTTATCTAAAAATAGAATATAATTTTTTTAAAGCAGTATTTTATACTAATATAAATATTTAATTATTATGATTGGTAATATTAGTTATAAAATTATGGGATAGAATATAATTACTGTTAGACACTGCAAATATATTTTTCTTAATTTCACAGGACAGCAAATTCTTAGCATACCTAAGCCATAATCAAACAGTAGCCGACATGACATTCAATCTTGATATGATTTATAAAATATGATTCAAAATAAATGAATATGAAGAAAAAAAAACAGAGCGATTGGCCTTGCATTCAATTACATAAATATACACCTGTCAAAGGTAGATGTCCCCATTTTATTATCAAATAAAGAGAAAAAATTGGTGTTAAATGTATAAACAATAATTATTTATTGATTATTGTATTGTGTGGTACTACGCGTAAGAGTGCAGTACTACGTTTCTGAATACATGCGGCAAAGCACATGCAGGTTAAGTATATGCACCCAATCGTCGTCATTTTCAATACATGATAAGTTACTACGAAAACTTAATTATTAAACATATCTCTTATTAATCGGATCATTCAATATGAACCTGATGTACAAATATCAAAATGCAGCAGTCAGAATATTGGATAGAAGTTTTCGTTTCTAGATTCAACCGATGCTAATCTGTATATACAACAGGATTTATAGTGAAATATTCATATGATTATGTCACATCTTCATATGGCGACCATGGAAAATTTTTCGTTTCGATTTCAATGAACAATCGTTTCAAACATATGTAACTGAGTCAGTACTTAAGCCAAGATTGATCAATCGATGATACTGCATGATTCAATTCATACAAGTTAGCAAACAAAGTTTTCAATTTTTTTTTACTTAAATTCTTGAGCTACGAAAACATTTGATGTACATAACTCAATACTCAATTATAACGACCTTCAATTGAATTAAAAGCCTTCAGTTTCGTTTTGGTTCAATCGATTCCGTAAGAAAAACTGCTTAACATAATGTCCACTTCATTGAAGTAAAGAGAATAGTCAATAGGCATTTATCTACTGTATCGATCGATCTAAATATGCATGAATAATATCTATTTGAGTATAATCCGGAATGATGCCTTTTCTTATATAGACAAACAAAATATCAATAAGAGTCAGCCGGGAAAACGATATTTGCTACAAATGCTTACTCAAGAGAAAAGATTATAAAATAGACGTGATTCATTTCATGGCTGATGAGATATGTTATAAGTAGTTCTGAAATAGATTCAGTTTCATCACGTCTTTGACATGAGTAACAACATTGTTCATTGATTAGAACGAGATAGAATTTTTTTTTTACAAATTTCCTATCTGTTTACAATCAATCATACTTTCTGTATTTTAGTATGTGAGAACAATTAAGATCATCGAACAAACAGGAAATGTATATTGATATTTTGCATGAAATAAAAACAGTTCCTAGTTTGACGTTAATTAAAAACGACCAAACGCATCCTAGGCACTCTCTTGATATCTAAAACCACAGAATAGTAATGACAAAACAAATATATTCGAATTCTTATAGGTAGAACATAGTAACGATCGCTTTACAACTACGATAAATTACGATGATTCAAATATCAAATTGAGTTAATTATGGAAAGTTTTATTTAGCGTCTGTTATGCGTCGACTTTTTGTGATTTGTGCAAAAGCTGAAATGTTAGTGTTATGATTTTTAGACATCATTCGTTGTATCAATTATTGTTTTTCTTTTATTTGCCTATCTAGATTCTATCTTGGTAATTTCGTTTTTAGACTTGTTTTGAGAATGAGTTATGGCCAAAAAACGCATGTAATTTCAGTAGCAAGAATTTCGTGTCGAACTTGTTTAGAGACATTAGAGAAAACGGACAACTTGAGTCGCCCACGTGTTTCATAGTGCGCACATACGTTTCATAATGAATAAGACTATATATACATATTATTTAAGTAAATATTTCGATGACAAAGAAAATTCAAATGTTACTTGCTTGATCTCATGAAAGAATATGCTTTCACGTGATCTCATGCATAAAATTATTCACTAAATTTACACAAGAACTAACGATTCAATGGAGAATTACTAGCGAAAAATAAACGGCATCTATTAAATATTTCTAATGTAAATCTATTCAATAAATTCAAGTTTTATTAATACATTTATGACGAAATATATGACTTTATAATAAATAAATTAGAATCCGATAGGATATTTTTTCTTCTTTTTTATTTATAAATAATGCTTGTTAAAATGAGATGCACAATCAAAAGCTGATTTCGTAACATTATGGAAATCAGGAGCGAAGTTTTTAAAAACTTTCTCAAAATAAAACATTTTTATATTCAAGAAAATAATTCTTCGTAAAAACGACATCTATACTAATATAGATGTCCAACACGGATGTTGTGCATATAGATATGTTGTGGTGTATTTCAAAACATCTATATACTGATTATTGTGTTTGTTTTCTTTACTAATAATTTGTCTCGTCATATTGTCGTCATCAGGGCCAAATGAAGAAAAGATAGAAAAACAAAAGGCAAGAAAAAACAGATCCTCATTTTGCCCGACGATGAACAGGGCTACTAGCATGTTGTGACGGGATATAGCATAAGAATAGAAGGAAAAAAGAAAAGAACGAAACTTGAATATATTTTTTCCTTCCATCTCTATTTTCTCTCTGTTTTTTCTTTCTTTCTCTATATTCTTTTCCAATGATGATACGACTAGTCATCCAAAAGAAAAAAGTGAAAAAGGAACAACCGAGCTCGTTTTTCATCCATTTATAAACACAAAACAAAATATTTAAACTGGAGAAGAAAGCAAAACAATTAGTTTGCGTTACTTTGCTCAATGTCTGACTCTTTTCTATCGACGGATAAAGACGATGTAAACAACCACAATGAAGTTACTAATCCAGCACACTCATCAATTGAACGTAACGATGAAGACGAAAAACAAAAACAAGCACAACAACCAATCAATTGTTTGTCCGAACTCTCATTAGAAGAAAGTGACGTAAGTTATTAATGAAAAAATAATAATCATATTTATCGATTATTGATATGTATTTTCTTTTGACTTCAGTCATTTTTCGCAGTTCTAAAACGTCTTTGTTTTTATTGGCGACGAATTGTAATACAGAAAATCCGTGTCATATTAACGCTCATTTTCATGTCTATGCTCAATTTTACAACACGAATAACATGTTTTACAGGACAACGAACACCAACATCGCCATCTTCATTTAATACTTCAGTCTCCTCATCGTCAATACGAACACTTGAAGTAAGTAAAACGAATTTTTATAAACGAAGCATAGAAAAATAAAATCAACAGGCCGCTTTCAAGAAATATTAATTTTCGCATTCAAAAATAGCGTCATGCCAAGCGTTTAATTATACGAAAAAGTAAAATACAGAATACTTAATTTAAATGTCAGAAAACATCGAATCAGGGAGTTAATAATTTCTAAATTTGTTTTTCGTAGTGACATTAGTCAAGGACATAGTTTTTTTCATTTTGCTTATGTCCTTTCCTTGTGTCTTGTAAATTTCCATAGATTCGGGCAAATTTCTATTTAAAAAAGGCCCTACTTTCTTTTGATATTTTCTAGTACACACTGTCATTACACGTGTTAAAGTCATTGACAGGAAGAAAAATAGTCAACTCTATGATCTTAGAGTTTCTTAGTATATTGAGATACAAGGTGGTCAGATCGAAAATTGAAAAATCAGAAAGTTTTTTAGGAAAATCAGACGTTTATCAGAAAGATCATTGTTTATGAAATAGCGACTTCTGTATAAGATGTTGGTATTAACTATTCCGCTACTTCTATGTCATTGACTGGTACTTTATTTCTAAAGATTTGTCACTATAAAGATGAATATTCATCAATCGATAAGGAATCTTTACGAAAAACTCGTTTTTTCCTTTATATATCGAAATGATATTTCTGTGGCTAATTAATTTACTTCGATTTGTTTCTCTTCACAATCAAATTCAACCATATTAACGTCATCCAATAGATAATTTTGTTTTTATTTGTGGAATGTTCAACTAGATAAGATTCTTGAAATCAAGAAAAGAAATTTATCAAATTCTGATGCATTGCTGTAGCTGCGGCTGCCTTTATAAGTCAGAAATTACTAACGGTTAATTAAGAAAAACAAAGTGACGCAATATACATCTATAATAGGAATGTGTCATAATTGTACTGAACTGTACTAGTAAAACTGGGATCTGAAATAGTTTCGAATTCGGAAAAAAATCAGAAGAAATTCAGAAAGAACTTCAAATTTCAGAACTTTTCCCTACTTTTCAGAAGATCTGACCACCCGACTGAGATGGTAGATAGTTCGACCTTTTCTGTAGATGCAAGATAACAGAAACACTGTTTTAATCGCTTTTTTTTTTACCGCTAAAGCATTTTTTATATTATATTCTTTTCACATTGTCACATGTGTTTTTGATTCATATAGATAAAGGTATACATTCATAATCGATTTTATAATTATCACTCCATTTTATAGAAGAAAATACCTTATCGATTAGCAATCGTTTTTTTCCCAGTAAATCCATCTTGCCTTATTTTCTGTTTCGTTTCTTGAGTGTTATTGATGAAAAATCAATTTTTCTCAGGCGAAGTACTTTTTAATAGTCGTCAATTTACGGACATAAACAGGTGTATATATGCATACGTAACATCGTTGAATACACAACATTTATTCGATAAGGTGGAATTATAAGAGAAATGAAATTCTATGCCAGACGGTATGTGTTAAATGAGAGGGAAAAAATGAATAGAGGCTGGCTCCTTTTTATTTTTGTTTAGAACGAATGAAAAAATAAAAATAAATATGCATTCATTTTGTTAGTGTTGAGTCGTTGGTAAATAAAACAAGAAAAGGCTATTTGCAGGTTGTTTAGATTGATTAAGTAGAACAAAAAGAAATATGAAATTTAAGTTAGATATTGACAAGATCTTTGAAAAGAAAGAGCATTAGTCGATTCTTCTATCGCTTTATCAACGAAAGAAACAAAAGACATACAAACATATCCTTTCAAGTACCTGTCGTATTGTGTTTTTATATCAACAAATAGGAATAAAATTCAAAAAGTTAACCTTACTATTTTTTCCTTCTATTAATGCTTTTCGTACGTATGTATCCGCGATAGAAACGAAATCCTTGTTAATATAATGAATTACATTATCATTCTTTTCTAAACAATCGTTTTTTCTACTGTTTTATCTTTTTACAATACAAGCAATGATATTCTTTGTTTTTTTTATTATTAAGAAGGGCATAGTACGATTCTCTAAAACGAATAATCGAACCATAGTCAGACTAGTCATATCATGCAGAAAGCGCATGCCAACTCGGCTACATTACCTTGTACTTAAAGCTCTTACTCTATTAGTATCAGCAGTTTTATCATCTGTTTTTCTCTTTTCCTTCTTTTTTACGACTACTATGACGAGAAACGCATTGACCACGCTTCACATCATACGTTAAAGGCATGATAATATATATCTATATATATATTGTATCAAATGTTAAAAGAGAAGGTCCCGTCTCAAGAATGGTTCTTCTCTTTTGTTTGAGTAACACAGAATGTACAGCTGTTTCAACCTCATGTTTAGTAATACTGAGAAATCTTCGCTTTTTAAATATCTAAATGCACTCAGGATATATGATTATTATCATCTATGCCCGAGATAATTTTCTTTTTCTTATGCCGCATACTGTTGTTATTTTTTTTTCTTTCTTAATCGAAATGTGGGGCAAAGTCGACTGGTAATAATCAACAATTTTTTTCTCGTTTTCTTCTCTTCTCTTCGTCTCCGTTTTGCCCTCGTCCTTACACTCCATGGATTTTCGCTACCAATAAGAAAAAAAAACAACAGCAGACTTTTTACTTCTCTGTTCGATTCGACGACAAAACAATTTTTCAAAATAGTAAACAATAAGATGACGATTCATCGTTTTCTCATTCTATACATACCGCACCTCTCTCGCTCGCTCTCTCTCTCCTTTGAATCATAGATATATAAATAGATATGCATATATGCAGCTGTTAGCTACGAGTTTTATGCATAGGCATCTACACCTGGATTTTGTGTGAAAATAAAAACTCGCAACATATCTATTATTCAGTGACAACAGAATTGGCTCTTTGAAACTATCATTCATTTTGGTAAACAAAAAAACAAATACACGGACGACTTTCTTCAAATACAGTATGCTTGGTGTAATAGTGCATAGGAATGACAGAAACGAGAAGAAACGTATGTGTTATTGTCTTGTTGTGTTTACAATAGCATTCTCGCTCACGCACTCTCTCTCTCTTCATTTTTCTTCCGCCTTCGAATAGATATACTCCGATAACATTTGTCATAAATACCTAACTTATAACATTTAGTTACCTGCAAAATTATTGATCATGCACTATACACGCACTGTGACCATGTTATAGTATGACAAATCATAGAAGTAAATAGAAAGTAATTTTAGATAAATTTCATAAGACGAGTAACGTGACCTATGTAAACATTCCATCATATGTCCACCGCTCATATGCTTCGTCGTCTTCTTCTTGTTGCCATTAAAAATAGAAGCGAAAAGAAAAGCAATAAACCCTGGTTAAGATTTTTCTGAGGCAGTAGCATGCATTGATCACGCGTTCTCCATCGGGTACAATCTGTTCTTGTTCGATGTTTTTGACTTTTCTACATAAGTGCAGTGAATATACCTATATATTGTGCATGCAATAATAATGTCTTCTATGCATTCACAACAGACAAAATAGAGTCTTAAGAGAGAAATTAGCTTGTTCTTCAGCATAATTTATTTGTTGGTTTTTTCTTGCTTTTAGGAAGAGTTAAACAACTCATCAAAATCTCCTTTACTCATTGAGAAAACACATCATCAACAACAACAACAAATTGATGTGCCATTGCTAGAGAATTCTACCATGGCGCAAATACTTATTCAACAAAAGATGAATCGGTCATCAAACATAGGTATCAACAGACCCACAACATCGCAAAAAGATATATCATTAGTAGTGAGACATTCAGTGGACGATAGATTGTTTTATCGTGATTCACAACAGATATTTCATTTTTTAACAAGAGTTGCATCTGAACCTCAAATGTTCAAACATCACCATTCACAATTAACAAATTCAAATGTAAAATTAATTAAATCTACCAGAGATTTTACAATATCATTACCAATATCAAATTCATCCGTACAATTGGCTGAGTCAAAAAATAATGAAATACATTTCGATGATATTCTTATATTTAACTGTGATCAAATTCAACCCGTATCGAATTCTACAGCAGAAGATTTTACCAGTGATGAAATAGACAATATTGTATCTACAACAAATCAGCAATCGGAAGAAAGAATAACACTAACTGACGAATTTGAAGCTCTGCATGTCAATGGAGATTCAGAAGCTGCATACACAAATGGAGATTTAAAAATTTCAGAATCAACTGAAGACGTTCTAACTGATGCAAGTTCTTCTCTTAATGATAGTGATTCACATGGTGAACGCCATTTTCGTCGTCGAAAACGACGTTCATCATTAACAAAAACCTCAGTATCCCTCGATGATACGGAATCAATAACTGATTTAATTGAGAAAATTTCTATAGATAATGAAACACCACAAGACACTAATAAAAATTTAAAACTAATAGAAAGTGATGATAAAGAAAATAAGAATATTATTGCACAAGATACTTCAGACAAGAAAGAACTAGCTCAAACAATCGACGATGCTGAAAAATCAGCTCCACTTAGTAGATACCGCGGAAGACGTGAGTTAATCTAATCAGAAAACAAAATAATAATCTCATATTTCATTTTCTTTTCTTCTAGGACTAAGACAACGATTTTATCATCATGCAGTTGAAGTATCTTCACCACCACAAGAAATCATTCCGAATATTTCGTCGGAACTTTATCTATCTCATGAAACTCTTCATGTTGAATCAACTATAGAAATTTCCACACCACAACCACCAACATCTATAACTCTGATAGTTCCCTCTAATCAAGTAACGCCTCATATAGCAGGTGGTCGTCTTAAACATGTTGGCTCTAATTCATCACCGAAGAAAAACGTTCGCTTTGCTGATTCCGTTGGTCGTGAATTAGTCGAAGTGCAATATATCAATTCTTCAACAAATGGTGAATCAAGAGAACTTGCATTCTTATTAGATTTATCATCATCTCCTCCGTCATTTACGAAAAATAATATTTATCTACCAATAACTTCACGTTTAGAACATAAACCATGGTCGTTTGATGTTGTTTCCAAGCCAACTAAACCAATCAATAATAAACAACATTCAAAACGATTCTATTGTTTATTTCGTCAGCCTGACTCTGAGCATCCAGACATTTATTTACATGAAGTATGGAAATCTCAAATAAAATTAGAACATGCCGATATACCATATAAATCTTCTTCAACCGATGAACAGCGACTCTACGGAACATTATGGGTTGCCAATATCGGCTATCAAAAATCTGTCTCTATTAAATATACATTCAATAATTGGTTGAATGTCTACGAAAATGAAGCTCAATATTGTTGTCATTCAAATGATTCTCGTAATATCGATCAATTTCAAATTACTGTTACCATACCTAAAGACGTGGATCGAATTGATTTTGTTTTACGCTATTGTGTTAATGGCCAAGAATATTGGGATAATAATTTAGGAAAAAATTATTCATTACAAACTGATTCAGCTTATACGACATCAACAACGATTTCTTTGCCACATGATAGTGATTTTAACGAAATGAGATTCTATTAAACATAATAGCAACAGAAAATAATGAAGAACAAATGAAAGTTTCTTGAACACGAAGAGAAAAGAAAATAATGTTAAGTCAGAATGCAATTTGAAAAATTAATATAAATGTCTAGCTTATGCAAAAACAAATCGAGTGTATTCATATATGTATGTATGTATAGCGATCGGAGTCGTCTTTCACTTTTTCTCTTTTGTGCATATCTTATTTTCATTCTTCTCTATCTCTTAGTTTACACTTGAAATCTTAGTCGTTTGACCATATCAAGAGAGAGAGAGAGAGACACACACACACATGTTTATCAATAAAATTTTTATTTTTTGTATCTGTAGCTGGTAGATTTTTTAGCTAAAATAAAAACAAAATGAAATTAGATTTGTAAATCAATAGCATATTATTATTTTTCTTTTTTGCCTTCTGCACATTGACTTTAGAGTACTTCATAGAGAAAATAATTTAAAAAATAGCTCATTGATCGGAATCCGTACAAATCTGTTCGATAATTGCGTTTGAAAGTGTTCTCGGTTGAAAACGAAAATCTTTTTAATGTCTCATGTTTTATAATAGGTCGACCGTGTCGTCGTTTTTTTCTCATGATAAAATTTAAAATAAAACAATTCACGCCATGATGTCGATAATTAAGAAAATGAAAACCGATACGACAGATATTCAAATGGACCATAAAAAGAAATAATAGAAAAATGGGTTGAATGAAATATGTTGATGTTTATAACCTAAGCAATAATATTGATAAGGTTTCGAATACGAAGAAAACCTTAGATTTAGTTTCATTTGTGAACTTTGGATTGTTTAAGTTAAAGAGTGCATAGGAAAAATCTATAGAGCGTTACGAGATTTCGTGTCTTTTTTACCCTGAAAATGTATGATAAGTGTTTGTACAGCATTGATTGGTAGTGTTGACAAAATAATTTATCAAGAAATAGCATCTGACAGAGACAGGATAGGCAAGGAAAATATTTTATCGAAGCTAAACGATTAGTCGCATATTTAGATTTAGATTCTAGATGAGATCTTGTTTGTTAAATAAAAACAGAAATCATTCTTCCTGAAGTTAGTTTCATCCTTTTGTTTTAAGATCAAATGTCGATTCAGAAAAAACACAATCAATTCATACTTTTATTAAATCCATCGATTTCATCAGCAGTTTGAATTTAAGTGGATTCATGTAGCCCATAGAAATGCAACAAAAACAATTAGTTTTTATTTTATTTAATCCTAAAGAACTGGAAAAAGTAACCTTCAATTCAAATTAGATTTTACATTGGACTTTGGCAGGTAGTAAAAACATTTTTTTTGAGCATGCAAACCAGACGTGTCGTAAGACAAATAAATTTCTTTAAAGTTTTCTGCATTCATGTTCGTTCTCTTTCTATGTGTAAATAGTATACCTATTGTAAACTGTAACAATCTATTCTCTTTTTTTCCTTCTGCCCGGTATTTTTCTTAGTATGCTTCGTGCTGGTTTTTTGCTTTGATGCAGTAACTCGTGTATTTATTTTCAAACTGTACCCTGTGATCTATCGGTGTATTGTATCGTTGCTATGGATGCATCTAATGTATGTATACAACTTATTTCCCTATGAGAAGGATCTCACTAAAATTCATTAATAAATTTTCGGCCAAAACTAATACATTACGAATCTGACGAGAAAGAAAGTAGCCCAAAAGATAATCAACATATCTTCCCTATTATCAATTCAATACGCCTGGTAATCAAATATAAATCATCTGTATGGATACAAATTAGAAGTGTTGAAATATCATTAGATTATGTTTTTGTTTTCTTCTTCTTGAAACTCAATTATAAGCATTTATTTGTTATTTTGTCTAAGAGAATCACTACGAATAAGAAAACATCAGCAACTAGCGAATCTTGCACCACTGGTTACGGCTAGAAAAGTCTTCGTTTTGAGAACAAATTATTCGAGGGTGATTTGAAACGATTCATTGACTTATGCGTTGATGACAAGTAAATAGTGGAGAAGCCAAAAACTTACATTGATCATTATAATGTTGTATTGGAAATTATGAATATCAACAGTGAAGAGTTGGCAACATTCTCAGTTTCGGCTGAGCGAATTATTTCGAATTTTTATAAATCTAAATCTATCGTAGCAAATTTTAATTGGACTTTTTATTAACTAGTAAATAAACTTTATTGGAAACATTTTCTTTTATTCAGGCAAATAATTTGATGATATTTTCAAGACATGCATCTTAAATACGGTCAATAATCAAGCTAGAAAAAAATCGCCTCAGTAGTCTTACTAAAATATCTCTTAAAAATCTTACCGTCAGATAAGCCTATCAATCTATTTCTTTTTCCTAGGTTTCTTTTTCGACCAATAATGGTAAAGATACAAAATGACAGGGCACATATGTTTTTGCGTATTTCTTTTTCTTGAATATAAATTTCCCTGACTCAATATAAAATAGTCCCCAGTGACTTATTACTTATCAGTGTTTCGTATGATTGTATCAGTAATTATAATTTTTGTTTCTCTTTGATAGATATGATATAAGAGAAAGAATACTCATTGATGTACTTTTTTCCTGTTCCCTTGTATCATATAATATATGTTGTGCTTATCGTTTATTTTAAGCAGGGCAAATGGATAACAGAAAGTACCTAGCAACCTTGTTTCAAAACATTAATACAAGTGATTAATATTCACTCTGATAGAAGACAATAAAACGCGTAGGTGCAGGGTTTTATTTCTTTCAATATTTTGTTTAGATAAATAAATAAATATACGATTTGCTAATCATCATCATGACAAAACGACCAAATATGATTCATTTATTAATATAATTTAACTTTGAAATTTATATTCTCTGAAAAGAAATCAATCAATAAGCTATGCTAAAATGCGTGTGACAGATATATAATGGTACTCAATACTATCTCTTATCCGATATTGAGATCTCTTTTAAAACATACTGAAAGATTGCAGCGGCGGCTACTTTTTTGCTCTGTAATTTTTTCATATAATTATTTGATTTAGGCTGCAAAGTAAAAAGAAACTAGTTATCTAAATCAAGATGTACGATTTTTTTCTAGAACCCTCGTGGAAACGTTGATTCATATGAATAATCATAATAATGCAGTTCTTGTTCCAAAAATAGTTCTTTAGCACTTTGATTTATATATGTTGTCTATGCAAGATTGGCATGCTGTATTATGAAAAAAGAAAACTTACTTCAAGAGAATATATATATATATATATCATTGAATGTAAACATGATTATTTTCGAATTTATCAGTTTACTCTCAGTGCCTTCTAAAGTTAATTTATTGAATTTATTCTCTTTAGATTGCTTTCAAAATTGACTTTTATTTTTTCAAATATTCAATTTTCCATGGAACTAGTTCACCGACAAAGATTATCACTCCTCTCATACATATGTTATATTTCTCATACCTAGATGTCGCTATTGATATTTTATCATGCAAAAACAGTAAATACTGCTCTTCACTGAATATGTTGGTTTGCATACGCGATGGTATGCAGCTACATAGTTTCCTTCGTAAATTGTTTCGAGACTCATTAAAAAATACACCATTTGCTTCCGCTAAATGTTACTCATTGAAATGAATAACATTTTCCTTTGTTCAAAAACATTATCAACAGAAAAAACTTGACGACAGCTAAAAGGAAATAGTAACAATTCATGAAAATACATATTTCTCCTCGTTCATGCTTTTATGGCATGCTATCAATAAATAAACTAATGAGCACACACACATATATATATATATATCCTAAGATATTAAATCTAAAGAGTTGTTTATTACGAAAAAGAAAAACCAAGGACAGAAATAAAGACTAAATCAGTTATTATATGGGAGTATCGAACGGGATAATGCTCATAATTTTAACATTTTCTTTTTTGTTATTTCACTCGTGTTCAATATTGAATGGTTGTTTTGAACACACACGACCTTCTTATGAATCTTCTTCGTCTTCTTTTTTCAAATTAAATTGTGGTTGAACATGTTTCCATAATTTTCCTTGATTATGACTTTCAAATAGATAGGTCGATGTTTTATTAATGGCACGTTCATAGCCAAATACACCAACCACAGTTATGACGGCAATACTTGCCGATCGACGAAAGAATAAATTGTAAACGGTTTTTGTCAATGACATTGCAAATTATCTAGAATAGACAATTAAAAGGGCATAATTAGTTTCAATTTATTTTTAGAATCATTGATATGAAAAGGGTTTCTCTGATTTATTGTGACGGAAAAAAACTAATCTTTCAATTGAGAATAATTTAAGTCAATGAGATAAACAAAGTCGGGAAAATGTTAAGAGTCTATTGATCTTTCTTCGAGAGATACGATGATTTTGCTAGTTGTGTAACCTATTACTTTGTAAGTGATCGAATGAAAAGATCTTGATCTTAACTTGACTTTTCTATGGTAGCTCGGGAAAATGAATAGGTTTTTCTCAAAGAATCTAATTTACGTTTACCATGGTAGTTGAAACTTTCATCCTATAAATAAACAAGAAAAATTCTCAACTCTTTAATTTAAAACAAAATCTGTCAGTTCAAAAGCAAACTAAAGACTTTTATAATCTCCTAGTCTTGTTTTCTCTAAAAACATCAAAGAAGAAGAGAGAAAGATTGTATGAATAATTTTTTGTTTTTCAGTAGTAAAAAAAAAGAAGTAGAACATATAAACAAATGAGCACTTTCCATGAGTACAAAATTCACACAATAAAAGTACAAGATAAAAAGATAAACAATATATTTTATTTTACGTTATGTGTTGTTTTTTTACAATAAAAACTGTTCTTTCGTATATTTTTCTTTGTTTAAAAAAGCTGTTAAAAAAGAAAATGAAACAAAAATATACAACATAATAAAATTTTACTAATCTAATTCTCATTTATTTTTATATATAAATAACAACTATCCATTTGTTCTTGGCCAAGCATCGAAACCAAAAAGTAAACCAATGATTAATGCAGTACCACATAGTATTGATGCAATACAAAGTATGAGAGCACGTTTATTAAGTTTATGCGAATCCACAACAAAACCATCGCGAAATTTAGTTTGTGCTTTACGAGCGAATGCAAATGCAAATAAGCCTAAATAAAAAAAGAACAGTTATCAATATATGACAATTTATTATTTAAACATACCGAGCGGAAAAAATAGAAATATACATAATATCGCTAACCATCTCCAATCGGATGGACGACGTGGAGCTTGTGGATCAAATTTTTGGCGACGATTCACCAATGTAGCAGAACTCTTTGAGCTGGGTATACCAGCAGCTTGTGGATTTGAACCATGTGTTTTTATTGTTGATTGGCTTGAATACAACGGATTAGTTGGACGAACTTGAGGATATTCTTGTTGTTTTTTAAAATAAAAGCATTGATATTATGAGAGAAAATTTTATTTTGATATTCGAATTTACCTGCATATCTTGATACTCGACTTGGTACTGAAGTTTGTGAACGTTGATCATTTTCAGATGGATATCGATGAGCATTATACCTTTGATTATAGTTCAAATTAGGACCAATGCCACCGCGAAGGTCAATACGAATATCATTGAAGCCAGCGTCATCATCGTCACCCGTTCCATGACGCATCTAAAATTAGATCAATTAAGATTATGTGTTTTTAAAAACTAGAGAAAAAAGATTAAGCTTAGGTTTGATTAGTCAGCGCTGTCCTACTAGATGTAGATTCTCATCTTGCTGTAGCGACCGGGTTCCTTCACTCTGCATTGATGACGATTCCGATGAAATTTCGTCGTCGTCGACGTGATTTTTCTATCAATGACAGAACAAAAGAGAGGCCTAGGGTGTAGAGTAAAATAAAATTCATTCGATCCCACGTGAATAAACATGGAAAAACTGATGTATGCAGACGTGTTTGTCCCTTTTTTCCTTTACCGTGATAAGAAAAAAAAATTATTTCTCCAAAAAACAAGAAAAAAAGCAACATCAATGTCGTCCTTCAACGTCAACTTAATTCTTCCTTGTTACGTACGCATGCATGTAACATACATATAAAAACGCCAGTTGAGTTTTTTTCTTTTTCGTCAATGTTCTTTTCTCGTATTATTTCTGCTCTTCTATTATATAAAAAAAAAAGGGGAGTAAGCTGCAGCAGCAGCAGACGTGTAGGAGAACTAGTGAAAAATTGTGAAGCAGAATAAAAAGAAAAAAAAAGAAGAAAAAAGGACGAAGAGATTGAAATTGTAAAAGGTGGTAGAGTCGTCATCAATGTTTCATTGAGACACGAGCTTCTTTTGAGAGAAATGAAGGTCGCTTCTCATACCGCAGGAGAAAAAGAAACGGGACATATGTTTATATGATGTAATTAACACTGCAATATTATTTCATATTTCAAATACTTTCATTTCAACATTTGAGTATTATGAATTAGCATAAGAAAAGCGAACAAATCATATCAAAAAAAAAGAAAGACTATTGATCGGATCCAAATTTTATCATTTAAGTGGATCAAACAGAATAATCTAGAAACTCAAAAAGATAACTGTTTTTTTGACACTGATAATGGTGCACATGAATCATTTTATGAAAATAAAAGTGAACTATGATTTATTATCTCATTTTATCTGATAATTCATTAGAACAATTTCGATGAGCAATTTATCGATTATTCTACTCATTGTCACTTGGCTATAATTAGAATGTTTTTTACATTATAAAACGAGACAGTAATCACTCAAAAGTCCTTGATTTTAAGGTGAACGAAGAAGTAAAACAACTGTGTGAGTATTGCGTGATTTTTAAATTGGAATTTCTCTTACAATCAAACCTATTTACACCTCTCATTAATCATAAACTCAAAGTGAATAGGCAAATAATCGCATACTATGTTGGACCTATCTGAAAAACGAGTCGAAGTGTTCTTTTTTGTATCAAGTTCACTCGATACTGGTATTAAGAAATACAAAAAACCTGCAGACACGCTGAGGTTAAATGTATAATTAAGCTACCTGTAAATCGTGAGGGAAGAATACAAACGTTTTGTTTTCTTTTGTCTTAACTACAGTGTAGTTATTGTAATCTTGAGAGTTTTTCGATCACCATGTTTATGTCACAAGAAAAATTAAGCCATTGATGTGTGTGTGGGAGAATGTTAGTAAATGTGGAGTTTTTGTTCAATAGTTGTATAAGAGCATAGCGAAATATCTAAGACGTCTTGTATTTTTACCGTCGAATGTACAATAAATACTTGTGACGAGTTTAGATATGTAGTGAAGTTAATGTTTGTCAGCCTTTGAGAGACGCAAAAGAAATGTCGAATAAGACTGTGATACTTGCTAATTTATACGTCTAGCCTGATTTATGCATAAAATAATATTATAAAAAGAATGCGGTTTCTGTTATTTTTAGTAAATTTGGTTTTGTTACCTTTTTACTCTACAGAAAGTGAAACTTTTGTTCAAAAAGAGAATGTAATTACTACTTTCGATAGATCATTAAAAAAGTAACGTTAGCGCATTCATTCGCAAAATCAGATATAGCATCTTTTTGAGTAAAAATAAATGATAAAATACTCGTTCTGACTCGTGACCTTGATCAAAGGAAATAATCCGTAGACGGTGAAATGCAACACGTTAACAGAGCCTGATCCTTTCATAAATAGAAATTTGACATTTTTGAGTTGTCCTATAGTCATTCAATACGACTGTTTATGGTAATCGCTGGTGATCCGTTAAGTTTAACCTGCGAAGCTTATCACAAAACAGATTCAGGATATGTGATTCGTTTTGATGAAAATCATATTTGTTGATACAAACAATATTTTTCAATGCTATTGTGCTGCAAAACCTTTGTATTTAATATGTTGACTTATACCTAGCAGTTTGATAATGAGTTTTTAGCATTCACTTAAGTTAAAAATTTCTGTCTTCTGATACTTTTATGATCGAATTCTTATCGTTTTACAATTTAATGAACACGTTATAACAGGCAATTATATGTCGCGTGATAAACAAATTTATTAATAGATCAGAAACGAGGAACTTGTTGATTTTAACTATAATACACGGCTTCTCTCAGTTAATTATCCTACTATGCATCCTTTCGGAGTATTTCCAAAAATTACAGATAACTATTGCCATGTATTAAAATTCTACTGATTATTTTTATAAGATCAAGAGTAAACGTCAAAACGACCAAAATAAGGTCACATCGACTATTTTGTTAGAAATAACATGCGAAACTAGTTAAGATATTTGTTCTGTACTGAAGAGTTTCCCTTAAAAACGTTTTATTTTTATTGAGCATTAAAAGTACGATTTATCTTTCAACAGTTTTCATCGACCTATACGATACTTTTACAATCTGGCCTTCGATTGCACTTTCTTTAAAAATATAAGAATCCTTAGAGGATCAAGGTTGTCAAAAATATAGGATTTTCGATAAAAAATGACAAAAAGAGAAGACATTTTATACACCGCTTCTGTTCAATTGTTTTGGTGTTTTTTAACTTCTCTGCTAGAAAATCGTTTTAATGAAGCTGTTATAAACAGTTCAACCGTAGCCAATATCGTTATGTAACTTTTTCTACTGAAATAAGTCGCTAATTCGAGGATCATTATAAAAGTTTTTCACAAATCAATAAATAACAGTAAACTAGATCGTAAACTTTGAAAAAACAAATACTATCTCTCATAATTAAAGGAGACGTTTCAGATTATGGGCATGACTTCCCAAAAAATCTCAACCTAATTTTATTCTTCTGATAATCAGCATTCCTCACTCATTATTTTCCACAAGTTTATTTTGTATTTTATCATAACTCAATTTTTTCTGGTAATAAATAAGTGTAAATGAACATGCATATACACAGGATGGCGTAAAATTTCACGGATTTTTTCTTTTGAACTATTTTGTATTTTGTACTTAGTATTAAACAATTAAATATCATTATAATACAAGAATTTGTCCAAATAACGGGTTTTCAAGAATACGAACGTCCATGAATAAATAGAGAATCTCTAAAAATTTCGTTTTCGTTCTTATCATTGAATTGTTAATACTTTGTTGCGAATATTGCTAGACTTTTGAAGAACTTCATATCTATAAGCGCCTCTTAATCACTACAATTCATACACTTAGACATGTACGAAGCTAATTTGTTTAATTTTTGCCATGCCAGATAATCGCATAGCTTGATTATATTCTAGGTTTTCATAAAATAACATAGAAATGATTTATCAAATATTCGTGATCTGTCATTTTCTCATTATCTTCTCATCAATAGTCATTTTACTATTGTTTACTATGAAAACAAAGCAGAAAATAATCATAAATTTCACCCTCTATTGCATGTAGAACATCTACTGTGTCCAACAAATACCTTTTTTTTAAATAAAATATCAAATTTCTTTTCATGTATTTACGAAAAAAACAAAACTACAGATTTTCAATACTTACAATAATATGCATCGCTTTCTGCCATTGCTATAATTGGATTGTAGAACCACAACAACATTGAATATAACATAATTGAATCGATAAATTCCAAGTAAGATTGCAAAAAATGAGTTTTGTTTATAATTATTCTCAATAATCGCCTATTTTCGGGTTGCTTCTTTCCATCGACAATATAACAAGCAAAACAAGTGCAGCAACGACCAATGAAACTCTTCTAACTAAAGATGTCCCTTCATTAAAAACATTGCGTTTAAAAATTACCCCGAATTATTTTCTTTCCCATAATTTTTCATAAATACGTTAATTAAACACGATGAAAATTTCCTATTTGAATAGTAAAAAAAACAAAAATTCAACTCTAATGAGTCATCCCAGCAACCCTTGGCCCATGCTCGTGTCTTCTTTTATCTATTGAGCATTTGTAAGAACGGCAACTTTCTATTTCAGTTGCTCTGTTTTTCAATTAGATGGCTGCACGTAAACCATGGGAAACATCAGTACCAATGTCAAGTCAACCAATGCCAACTTCATTTGACACAATCAATAGTGGCATGTTGCCAACGATTGAAAATCCGTATGTATTTTCTTTAAGAAAAAGTTGTTTGTTCTCTAATTTCTATCTTGAATTACAGACGCACATTAGGTGTAGCACCTCCTCCTCCACCTCGATCCATTCAACAGCAACAGCAACAACAGCAACTTGGCATGTATGCTCCAACAAGCTATCTTAGTCCTTATTCATTAAATCCGTACCAAACTGGAGGCTTTTATAATAATTATCGTTTTTCACCGTACGGCGCACAGTCGAATATTCCAGTTAGTAATTTTTCTCAATTAGCCATTGATGAATCGCGTTCGGCATTTTCATCAATCGAATCTATAATACAGGCATTTCGTTCGATATCAATGATGCTCGAATCAACATTTACAAGTGTTTATTCATCATTCCGTGCTGTCACTGATGTATTGGATAATTTTACACGAATACGAAGTCAAATATCAGCAATCTATCCACTTGTTTTATTATGGAGATTTCTAAAATATCTTTATCATCGTTTGTTGCGTTTACTTCATTTACGACACGCTACGCACGGAAGTACAGAAGAAACATGGTCAGCTATTTATAATAGTCTACAACAAACTACAACTAATTTGAATGAACAAGCAACAGCATCATCGTCATCTTCTGGTTTACTCGTTGCACTATTTTTTCTTGTTTCATTTGGTACACCTATGTTGATGCTAAAATTTATTAATTCTATTATTCAGAAAAGACAAGGTAAGGATCATCTTTTGTTTCAATTTATCGAAGAATATTGTTCTTTGTTTTTAACTATATCCAGGTGCTAATACTCATTGGTTAGAACAAGAATCAAATCAATCCCGTGTGGTAGCTACATATGATTATGTAGCGAGAAATTCTGATGAATTATCGTTTACAAGAGGAACGCCTATTTATTTAGCGCCTATCTGTAAGTAATTTATAGTATCAATGGAACTATTTTTAATCTAATGGCAATCAAAAGAATTGATCTACTCGCATTTGTTGGTCATATGCCCATTGCTATTAGACTTGAATTCTTTATTCTAGTAGTTCAATTTCTAGCCGACTATCAAGACCTATTTAGAGGCGGACCGATCCCCTTTCTCATTATTTCCTGTCATCATGATTATTTCTTTGAAAATTTTATCCAACGATCCTAAGATAGACAAGTTCAACATAGTCCTGCAGGTTAAGGCTTCTTTTGTACCCTAGCCCTACTCTATCGTATAACTTCGTACCCTTGTCCTGCCCTGCCCTATCATATCCTTAGAGTTGCAGGTTCAAAGAAAAGTCAGCATGACGTTTTTCTTCACTATGGATTTTGTATTCTGGACAGACTTGACCAAAATGTTTCATTCGACGAAGATGAAGCTTCCTTTATTGTAATAAATTTTCCTTGTTCCAAAAAATTTAATATTTCTTTCTTTTTTTCGTTGATGATATGTCGAGATGATTTCGTAGACATTTTCTATTACATTTATATGCACATTTACTCGACAAATAATCAAAAGTGACTGAACTCGTCAGCTTATGTAAAATATAGGCCATTGTTTTCCGTTCCTTGTTATTCTATCCAATGAATTTAGATTATGACATCACTCTGTACCAGAGATCGGCGAGTCAGTTAAAAATACGACTCGCCACCGCCTCGCCTGTGATCTATCTTAATAAAGATCTTTTTTGGTAGTTATTCCAACTGCCTGCAATACCTACAATTCTTTATTTCATTATATCACATTGAATACACTTAATAAATATAGATAAGTTGAAAGAAAAACAAATTACAAAATTAAATCAAAATAAATAAATAACAGCCATTCATTCTTTTTACTGAACGTATAAACAATGAGTTGTTTATTTGTTGTGGATTTAAACGAGTACGTCTAGAATTAACCATCAAATTGAAAGATGTCGACATCAATTTGCTATTTATTCATTAAAAATAACATTCTAAATATAGGCGAGTAACTCGGTGAGTCTGGGATCTCTGTTCTACAAAATTTTTATTTATGTGAACTATACCCCACTTTTACCCTATATATACATATTTTTTTCGTAACCTTACCCTGTCCTGCAGGACTCTAGTTCAACATCTAGCTTGAGCCATATGTTTTTGACTCGAGTACTGTTGGTGATCTCTCTATCACAGTTTATAAAGTTAGTGAATGAGAAGAGCGCTTGACACATGACTTGTTCTTGTAATAATTTTTTTAATGAAGAACAAACATCTTCAAAATACCTGCTACATCTAAAAAAAAACAGATTTTAGATTTTGAAAAAGACATTCATTTTTCGTATTTTCTAGCTTTACAATCAACATCATCACATTGGTTTTTGGGTACAATTGATCACATTCATACAGGTCTTATTCCGGCTAATTATGTTCAACCAGTTCGACAATCGACAAATTCTAGTATTAATCTTCATCCACAGACACCATTCAATTCTACGGTAAATAATAATATTTCAATCATCTTCCATTCAATGATTTCGTATTTTCCAAAACTTTTAGTCAACTGCTTCTCCTCCTGCACCACTTCCATCATCAACATCAACTTTTAGTGTTGAGGAAAAGCCAACGTTATCTTAATTAAAAAATACCCTTTTCTGTTTTTGCATGTTTTAAATGTTTAATTACCTTTGTATTGTTAACTGCGCGCTGTGATTTGCTTGACGTCTTAAAATATTTAGTTTTCGGTTTTTCTTGAAATGTCCTGTCTTCTAGATGAGTGTTCATATAAATAAAACTGTTCTTATCACCGGAGCTTCTGGCGTACTAGGTCGACAAGTAGCAAATCGATTTACGAACGCTGGATGGAATGTCACAGGTGAGTGAGAATGGATTTTATGAAATAAAAATTCACCGTTCTAATCTTATGAAGGACTTGCTTATAGCCGAGCAAATAAAAATCATTTAGTACGTTGCGATCTAACTAACTTCGATGAAACTGATGCTATTATTCGAGATGTAAAGGTAGAAATCTCTTTTTTTATTTTGAAACACAAAAATATGATATTAATTGTATACAGCCAGATGCCATTGTTCATTGTGCTGCTGAACGTAAACCTGATGAATATGAAAAGAATGCAGAAAAAGCAATGTTTCTCAACGTTGACGTTACTCGTCATCTAGCTGAATTAGCTGGTAAAGTGAATGCTCTTTCTCGAATGAAAAATAATAAAATATCGATTATTTAGCTAGAGAAAATATATTCTTTATTCTTATTTCAACTGATTATGTTTTTGACGGGAAAAAACCACCCTATAAAGAAGATGACACTCCGAATCCACTTCAAGCTTATGGTAAAAGTAAATACGAAGCAGAATTAGTAACACAGAAAATATCCCAAAGTAACTAATTAATTATATAGTAGATTATTTAAATACACATTCTAATTCAGATCATGTTATACTTCGAGTACCATTACTCTATGGTGAAGTTGAAAATTTAGAAGAAAATGCAGTGACTATTCTATTCAAAAATATTAAAAATCCGACCGCTCGAGTCAAAATGGATGAGTACGATAAATAGTTCTAAAATCCATTGAAACTCGATGTCTACTGTTTAGTGTTCAAACACGGTATCCAACTTATATTGGAGATGTAGCTGAAGTTTGTTTGCAATTATGTGAACTACGAATTAAACAAGTATGCGTATCAATTATTTACTTACAGTAACGTAATATTCTCGCTCTTTCAGAATCGAAATGACGTTCGTGGTATATTTCATTTTTCTGGCATAGCAAAATATACAAAGTATCAATTGGCTTTAGTAATTGCTTCACTCTTTCAATTGCCTATTGATCATATTGAACGTGATCAAGGAACAGGAACAAATACAAATGTACAACGACCTGAAAACGCAGCTTTAGATAGTAGTAAATTATCGGACCAACTTGGCATTAACATCAATCGAGCGAACTTCGAAACAACGATTAAACGTTGTCTTGAATCATTTATTTAGTTTGAAAATATATAAAAATTTGAATACTACTATCCAGAGGTGTCCACAGGGCCAATTTTATTACCCTGCCCTGCCCTGCTTTTTATCGTAACTCGCCCTGCCTGGCAGGGCAAAATCATTTTCAAATAATTTGTGTCCTGCCCTGCCCTGCCCTGCCCTGCTAATTAAGAAGATTTTTTTTCATATTTAAATTCAAGTTTAAGTAATCTTTTTTATTTGAAAAATAGTTCAGCAAATAGATAAATGATCAGCAAATAATAAATTAGCGCTAATTGAAAAAGTGTATACGATGATATTGCATCATCACTGATGATCCATCAGTAGATCGACTTGTCCATGTAACCCGCTACTTCGCTGATCCAGTTTTAAGAATGTTTTGTTTCGATATAAACAGATCTCAGCGTATTTTCTGGTACAATTTTTT